GGCCTGTGAATCATTTAATGTCTACATTTATTCGCCTGTATTTAAACTAAATGCGCTATAGGTAATGCAAATCGCTTACCTGTTGGAAATTCTTTTTCTTGCCTATAGCCACAATATCACATTATCCAATAAATACTGAACTTTAAATTTTAACAGCGTGGTCATTGTTAACCGATTAGCATTAAACTGTTGATGCGTTTTCAGTCTTTTCACAGCAGTTACTGAAAATGCGTAAGCCCAGATCTGTGATAGATACGTTAAAGCCTCAAGTGATTAATTTCAAGCGATTAGCGGGCTTTCGTCCCCTTCACATTCCTTAATCCATGTTCGCCAAGTTGAGTCTCATTCATTTGATATCCCACCTCGTCACTTATTCTACTCCCACACCGAATTACCACCCACTAATCTTACCTCCTGCAACAAATAGGTACTGCTGCAAATATCGAAATCACATTTCGCTAATAGCAGTTTCGTACCTCACTTGAAGATTAAGCCTCTTTGGGATCTAACCATTGACTGGGACTATAATGTTATGTGCTTTCGTTTAAAATGCTATCATTTGGGTTCTGTGTTTTTGATATACTTTGTTTTGATGACTCATCACTCGTAAATGTGTTGCAGGTTAATATTTTATAGATCAGACAATATATAATATGATTCCTGCGAATAATAACCTTGAAATATGATCAACATTATGATGGAATTAACAAATAATAGGTATATCACATCGTAGCTGTTGCTCGGACTCTTAAGTGATCACATACACTCAGCGCAACAACTCCTTCCCAAATTTCCAGCGTTCATGAAATGATGGGAAGAGCGATAGAAGCTAAAGCTTGTCCCACATTTGCTAGTGTATTTCTTGTTCATAAGATGGCGTCACGCTCGCTTGTTTCCACTCGCTGGAACAAAGCACACAGGGCTGGCTTCAAGATGACATTTCAGTGTATGTCGCCATTACGTGAAGCGCGTTTCTAATTTCCGGGTTATCTATATTCTGATTGAAGCCGACTGATGGACGGCTGCCGGTCATATGGACGGTCAGTGTCCTGAACGACGCTAATTTCAGCCCCCCCCAACCAACGCCAGAATTTACCACACCTTGAATAAATGAAGACACAACTTACCTACGCTTTTTACTCTGCTTACTTGGCCAGATTCTGTTAATGACGCCTGCTATGTTAGACATCGGTTGCCACTGTCTCGCTAACCAACCGTTTTAAGGTTCATGACGATCTTCATGCTTATTCAGACAAATGACAGAATATGCTACATTATAGTTCTCCATGGTATGTTATGATTCTTAAGCTGATACGCAATCTGTGAGATTTGGTTTTCGGGTTGGAGTTTCGGAAACCATTAGCATTTTGAAGAAAAGGTTTAGTGCGTCCGGAGCTCCGCGGTTTGACGTAATGACATGGCCGTTGCGTTGAACCACGAGAATCATGAACACGTTATATGAAGTGAAATTTTTCGTGAACACATGTCCTCTGCTGTTTTGCATTGGTGACTGCTTTACGATATGGCCACAACTGTTGCTAGCAGAGTTATTTTGAAAGTAATCGGTTTTGTCCAAACATGTTACTTTCAACTGATTCTGCGGTAGTGCAATCCGCATAGAAGTCATTACACCGGCTAATGCCGCAACATTCTATCACCCCTCGCTTGTAGTTGCTTAGGGTAAAATTTAAGCAGGCCACCACTACGTAGTATTTAGGCTCCCACCGTGCATAGGGCATGCCATCAAAGCGGAATGCCTGCGATCGCTTAGCTGTGAAAAGAGTAATCTGAATGCTTTCATCATTATCAGCCTGCAAGCATTAGAAAAACGACTTACATTAAACCGATTCAGCGATAGTGTTGTAAGATAGAAATCATTACATTAATTAAATTAACGTGTATAAAGCAATATTAACGACATTTCACAAAATCATTTTCCCATCATAAAGAGGATGGTGAAAAGCGGCGACTCCAAATCGGTTAAAACTACCTTTTAGTTTACGCATTGCTTCAACATTTATCGCGCCTCACCGCTTAAATTTAAAAATTACTTCGCATAAGAAAAATAGAATGTGATGGTGATTGAATCTTGGGCAAGTTCTGCTATTTGGAATGCTAGATTAAACTATTGCAAATACACA